TGTGTGCTCCTCTACTTCACTTCACAAAATACTCTCTGTTCCGAGTGTAGTCCCGAGACCGACAAACACCAACCCGGTGTGCAGGTGAAAATGCGAGCCCACACTGTCCCTGTGCCACCGCAAGCCCTCCCGGAGATGACACTGTTGCGAGGCCACACATCACCAACTAGAGTAGCCGATAAAAGCGCTTTTTTAGCGCTTCAAAGCACCGTTCGAAATTGCATTCCTGTAGTCCTGCCCACGAGTAAAGGACCGTTAGATCTGGCATCGGAGGTCTTCGGCTCCACTTCTGCGGCCTTAAAAAGCCTTCAAAGGGTCTCCAGCGATGAGAATATAGCTGCCAGTTTTCGATTTAAAAAGGTCCACCTTAAAACAGTGACACCAGAACAAATACGCAGGTGGGAGACCAATTTCACCTTCCTCCTGAACGATCCAGGTAATTGCCTTTGGGGTGGATAGCCTTTCCCCTTTTTCTGAGCCATTCAAAGCCAAAGAACTGGCGTTAATTACTCTCCTGATGGAATAAAACACCTTATGTAGTTGGAATCTCACAAAAACTAATTGTCTTAGATACTAATGTAAGGCAATAAAATGGAATCATAATAAATCCAAGCTCCACTACTGGGGACATAAACACTTCCGGTACAATGTGTCGTCGCCATGCTTCATCATCTTCCCCTAAAGTGGTTAGTGGTTTTCTGCACAAACTTTTGTGCTGCCTAGGCAAGACTGGGCGTGGAACTCATAATTGCTGCATAGAGGTAGGTTGTCTTGCGTAAACATCAATTCAATGTTCATATTTCTCCCTCATTAGCATTTTCTTCCTAATCTACACTTGTGACCAACGCTTAAACGTCAGTGCTTTTAATTGGCCAATTTTGTAGATGAGTTATGAAATTTATTATTATTATCTCAAAGGTAGGTAAATCCATAATGTACGCATATCCACGAGGCGTAGTTGTGACTGACGGAGGGACAGACAGACGAGCCAAGTGAATAGCGGGAAAGAAGACAATTTTTGTTTTGCCTTCACTAAAACCAAAATGGCTGAGCTTCAAAAGCGCTGCCGTTGTTGGGTTGAACTCGAAGACTCAACAAGGCTAAGTCCACTGACATGCCCAAAGCCACGGCTACGTGAGTGGGGGATGTTGAAGAGAGATGCATTTGGCAGTGCAATAAATTTTCAGCCCACGCAGTTTTTCGGAGAAAAAGGAGATTTTGAAACACCCTTTACCCAGTGCCCTTATTCAAAGAAAAGGTGGGGGCGTGATCGAAAGACCTTACAATCTACGAAGGCAGTCTCGGCAGTTAATATGTGCAGATAGGCTGGAGACTATTTGTTGTCCTTTCCCAAGGTGGAGCACACAAAGAACTTTTAGAACGATACATCTGTAGGGGTAGTAATT